ATGAGTGTGAACGAAGAATAATATTTTTTGCTATTACGTAATTTTCTGTTAATTTAATTAATAATATTGTAATAAGGTAATAGTCTTATGTAACATTATTTCATTTTTCCAATTCGTTCTTTGTTAGATGCAATGTCACCTTCCCCAAAAAAAAAAGCCATTGTAATCAAATGCGAAATTCAACAATTATTTATTCATAATAGTTTAAAAGCAATTTTAATAAAAAACTTTTTAAAGCAGTTTTCTAATTAACAATAATGCCCACCTATCATCGTAATTGCTACCCATCATTATTAGTGTTACTGAGAAAACGTAATTTGAAAGAGTTATACGCACAAAATAAATAAAAAGACATTTTAAATTACACTTATGGACCGCAAGAAATAATTATGATAAAGCTTTTGTAATTAGTTTACTTACGTAATTCCTTTTAGCTGTTAAGAGATTCCTTTTATACAACAATAAAAACTGCATTATATCTGAAGCAGGGGGTGATGCATCTCCTTTTTTAAGATCTATATTTTCTTTGGTTAGTAGTTCTTTTTCTAAAAAATAAAAAAAAATGAAAAACTAAAATATAAAACGTTTTGTTTTGATTCTGTTTTTGCGAAAGCTTATTTTTTTGTGAAACATTACTTATCAAAGTAAAATTAGAAAAAAAATTTGGAGAAATTTTACAAATTATATTTAGTGTTCTAGACGATATTGCTTCGATCTACGCAATCATTAATAGTAGGATACTATTGACAATGATCACAAAGGCCGAAACAATTTTGTCAAGAACAATTTACGTAAATCGTAAATTTAACGAAAAAATATTAATATTCATACGCTTCTTAACGTTTAATAATTATTATTTTTGTTATTGTATCTTATATGATATTGTTTGGATGTTCCAATTCGTGCATCATCTGAATTGTTATCGTAAAAAAAAATGATAACATTTTATTGAGAAAATAATGTCAAAAAAATTTGCCAAGGCTGCATTTATATGGGTGTCGACCTCGTTTGCATTTTCTGTTGTAGATTAGCAGATTATATAAAAGTTAATACTAATTTATTCTAATTAAATACTTGACACCAAAAATCGTCACTTATTAAAGGCACCACAAATTGATCGCCAAAACAATAAACAAGACTGACCTTTCATCGTCATAAGGGCCTTTTTATTGTGGTTTTCTTCAGAATCATTCACACTCGAAAGTTTATCCAAATCTACTTCGTGTTCACCGACAGCAATTTCCATTACTGAAAAATAAATTTTAATGTCAGTTTTTCGTTACGTATCGAAAGTTGGGTAAGTTTCCGTACAAAAATCTGCAGGATTATGGTACGAAGGACAATAAAGTCCGAAACTTGCTAAATGTGGTAAGAGTTGCTGAATTGACCCTTGATATATGCATTTTCCTTGAGAGAGAGCGTACAATTGGTCAAACATTTCGAAAATTAAAGCTGATGGTTGATGAATTGTACAAATTACAGTCCTACCCTCTTGTGCCAACCTTTTAAGAAGGGATACGCACTGAATACTTGAAAGGCTGTCCAAACCACTAAAATGAAAGGGATTATTAAGGATTATTTTAAAGGGATCCGCAAAAAATAGTAGGTTTTCAATTCGTTTGCCCTTTAATTATCAAATAAAGAGAGATGTGTGAGCCCAGAAAAAGTAAACCATTTTTTTATGTTCATTATTATATTTTTTATTACTCAAGCTTTTGTACTTTTTAATATTCTATCATTTATTGCCAGCTTTAATTAATGTATTAATTTTTAATTCATTAAAGAGTCTATTATTTTAATTGACGTCTTAATCTATTCAGGTGTGAAAAATTCATTTATCATATGAGATTCTTGTAATTAAAATTTTTAGGAGCAATTATTATAATTTATTTTACTAGATAATTAGCAAAAAAGTGATCATTAATATTAACAACACAAATTTTTTTACACTAGTGCAACAAAATGCTCTAAAAATATACACATATAAACAACAAAGATAGTTTTACAAATTTATTTAATTGGATCAAATTATACTGCAGTATTGCAATAAGATTATTAAAATTTGAAAATGGTTAAGTAACAGTTTATTTGTTTACTTTACGTTTTCAAGTTTATCCTGTATTTTAAGGTAAAAATAAATAACAGGGTAAAAAATGTAGTCCTAGTCCTAGTTTTTACTGGACTTACGAAACATTTTCATGCACGAAAATGCCGTCAGGCACTTAGGTAACTTTCACCTGGTGCATGGTTACTATTCCGTAAAGTATGTGTATACAGTGGGTTACAATTTAAACATATATTTTATGTCTCAAAC